AGTTGTTGGATTAATTGATAGAACTCACATTAGATTAGGTGCCTGCATAGGTGTTGACCAAGACTACATAAATAGAAAGGGGTACCCATCAATACAACTACAGGTTAGAATCAACAACTTGCTGATTGCAGATCTAACATCAGTAGCCTTTTATGCATCTTAAGTTTTCTCCAGAGAGGGCATATTTTGTTTTTCATAAACAATGAAATTTTGCGAATGCCATAATTGATGGACATATTTTATATTGAATAGATCTACATATTAAATTTTAAAAATTCTGCTTGAATTTAAATATGTACCTCGAACATCACAAAATCAATGAATATTCAACATATTCTCTACAAAAGCAAGTTATGCACATTTTTTAAATTTTTTTTTCAATATTATATTCTGCATCCTACATCCTCTAATCCCATAAACAAACATTATAATATAATATTACATACCTGAATCTTCATTTACTACAACAGAATTCTCCATGAAAATTTTATTATTTATTTTCCAGCTAGTGGAAGACAACAACTTGTTAATTACCCATGCCTATACAGGATGGCCTGGAAGCGCTCATGATGCACGTGTATTACGCAATAGTTCAATTTATGGAGAAGCCAACAATATCATCAATGATGATCATTATTTGATTGGTGATTCTGTTTACCCACTTCGTCACTGGTTGGTTACCCCATTTCGAAACAATGGCCAATTGACCATTCAACAACATAGGTTCAATCGTATGGTGTCTGCCTGCACACAAAGTGTTGAACGATCAATCGGTCATTTGAAAGGGAGAATGAGAAGACTGCGTGAATTACCAGCTCATAGTATTGAGGATGTATGCAATATTATCATGGCTGGGTGTATTATGCACAACCTGTGCATTCTTCATGAAGATGACATTGATAAGTACATTGGATGCGCAATCAACTCAGGATCTAGATCAAACAGATTTCCAAATATATATCATAATGCAGCAGATGGCATTGCACTGAGAGATCAGCTTATGAATATGATGCCATGAAAATTTATTTTATATGGAAAACTATTTGCTAGTGTCTTTTGTGAATTATTTATAGTGTACAAACCATATTCTGATTCTATCTATTTTGTAAATAAAAAATATTTATGAAGAAGTATTTAAATGAGCTGCTAAAAATGGTAGCTGTGTTCTAAATGCACCCGTTTGTTTGATATATTTTAAAGCTTCAGATATAACACTAATTATGAGTATGACACTCTTGATCATCAGACCAATTCTTCTGCTTGTATGTTTATTTCTTCACATTTTTGTGTCTATGTACAATTCCTGATTCCCAAATTACCGTCAGACGCGATGTAATTCTATTTATGCATGTGTAACCTACCTAGCAATGGGCAAGGGTAGGACAAAAATATAAAAGTCAAAAGAACAATGGTAGACATGCAACCCAAAGTCATTTGAAACATTTTGTTGTTGAAAATAGCTGATTGAGTTTGGATGGGTACGAATGAGAGCAGCTCGAAGAACTTTTTTAAACCGCCTGAACAACATGGATTTTAAGAAAAACAAAAAAATGGAATGAAACAGAGATGGTGTGTGTTTCGCAATGTAAATATGACCGTGACATAGTTTTTCAACTCCCTAAATACCTGCAAAAAAATATGAAAATATTACACTATAGCCAAAGATAATTTGCATGTTCATCAATCTTGCTTAGGCAGAATAGTATGCAAATTTTCTGAGGCTGGTACAAGTTAGTTGAAGGATGATGGCAGTCTTATTTCTGGGATTTTTTACGTTGCAAGTTCAAAACATTGATGTAATGATATTGGTTGACCTCAGGTCACATATTATGCAGAAATGCACAAACAATAACATGCAAACGCTACCAATTCTGGAACCGGAAATTGTAATCAGCCACATTTTTAGTCCTATGAAGATTAGTAAGCACCATTTTTTTTAATATGCACAATAGGTTCATGCATATGTAAATTATTTTTCAACTTGTTTCTTTATTGAAATTTGAGCCGTGTTCCATGCTTCCCCCATATAGTAAATATTGTTGATATAATTGCATTTATATTATTATCACTTGTATGCAAGCTGACTGTGTTTCTGACCATAGGAAGACATTGGACAGGAGCAATTCTGACAGAACTACCAAGTATTTGATAGGATCTGATGTGTAAATTTTTACATTATCATGTCTCTTGTAATGCAGCATTTCACCTTTGAAAAAGAAATCTTAGACAGGTACCAGGCTACATAAAAGCATTCTATGTTATCTACTGCAATATTGACTCACCCAGAGTGGACACGGCCACAGGCAAATTGACTGCCCCAATATTTCTGAGACTTGATGTAAAGACAATTATTTTAACTAGTGCATTTGACCAGTCATACATAATAACTAGAGAAAGACCTATCATTTTGTCCAAGGCAATTTTAATATTGGCAATAACAGAAACACAACAGGAAATACCAGAAATGCCTCAAATATTACTAAAAAGCAATATACCCCGGTATAAATAAAACAGAGACATATCAAAATTTATTCTACGTCTTAACAATAATGAGAACATCAAAGCCATTTAATCAATATAATTTCATTTCGGGTTTACACAAAATGAAATATCAACCTAAACTATTTTATTAAAGATGGAGTACAAATATTATTATACATGAACAAACAAAAAATACATCCACAAAACTAACTGATCAGTAACCATCATGTCTGATGTTTTTGCAAAATCTGCTCTGGCATGCTTGAAAAATTGTTAAAACTTTGTGATTTAGTTATGTTTAAAAATGTCTGCCAGTTGGTTAAATTTCATCAACATTTTGAAAGAACTGAATGTATCATGCAACCCATGATGTCTTACTTTAGTTTTATAAATAATAAAAATCTGTAAAAATGTGTTTGAAAATTTGTAAAAAAAAAAAAAAATGAATAAATAGCCACCAGTTGGCTATTTTCAGTCAAGTAGCTACAGAGGTGACAAAATGACATGCACTTTATGTCAGAAATGATCAAACATATCAAGAAAAAAAAATTGCCTAAACAGACGATATGCATGCATGCATACACACACACACACATGTACACACA